TCGAAGATGTCGGCAACCGATGCTGTTCATCCAAAGATTCATTTCGGTCGCACAGAACTGCGATCCATTATCCGTCACAAGCACTTGTGGAATCCCTTCGCGGCTAAAACATTTCCATAGAACTTGTATCACAAATGATGTGGTAGGCGTAGTCGTAAAGAATACCTCTGGCCATTTGGAGTATGAATCGATCAGAACAAGGGCGTAGTACCGGTTCAGAAATGGACCACAGAAATCCAAATGAACCCTCTGCCATGGTATATAACTTTCCGGCCACGGTGTCCAGTTTTTCGATCTTGTTCGTAATTTATGTAAACATGACTCACAGTTCTTGGCTGTTGCGTAAATGTCTGTGTCCAACTCCGGCCACCAACACATCTGTCGAGTCAATGATTTCATCTTCACCCTCATATGTCCTTTATGCAATTCTTCTAGTACCGTCTTCTGTAGTGGCGGTGGGATTACCAGTCGATCGGCGCGGCAAAATACACCATCCAATTGTACGGACAACTCCTCTCGATGAGCAAAGAATTGAGGATACTTTCTCTTTACCTCTGGTGACCACCCTTTCTTGATCGCTGAGAGTATGGCTGAGTAGTACTGTTTGGTAGATGTACGTAAAGATTCTCGAGACACTGGTGATGCTGGAGAGATGAAATTACACTGGTCGACCTCAGAAACTCATGAGTAGCAAGAGAGGAAATCAGCCTGCGGGATTGTCTTTCCTGGACGATGTTCGATGTCATAGTTATATGCGGCTAGAGCGATACTCCACTTCTGTAGCATAGCAGCAGTGGACTTCGCGATAGATTTGTTGGGGTTGAACAAGAACTGTAGCGCTTGGTGATCAGTGATGAGAGTAAATCGCAATCCGAAAAGGAACTTGTGCAATCGTCAAACAGTCTAAAATACAGCCAACGCTTCTTTTTGAGTCTGTGAGTTTCCGTTTTCTGCCGCATCGAGTAGACGTGAAATGCAGATCACTGGACATCCTTCTTGTTCTAACACAGCACCGATTCCGACGTCATTCCGACGCTTCGGGGATGAGTGTAGTCGGTTTTGAAGGTGAAAACGGGGCGAGAACAGGACGATCAGTAACACAGCGAATTAAACCACGTAAGATATCTTCACACTCCACCGACCATTCCCACGCGTCTGAACACTGATCACAGAAAAGTAGCTGCGCCCTTGTAACAAAGTTCGGGATAAATCGGGAATAGTACTGTAGGCATCCCATCGCGGATCTCAAATGCGTTTGATCCTTTGGAGATTCGATATTAGTCAATGGTTTGAAACGTGTCTGATCGGGACGGTATCCACGGGATTCAACTGTAAATCCTAGAAACTCCAACTCACTCACTCCAAACACACATTTGGACGGCTTGATAGCCACGTTTCTGGCGGCAAATCGTTCAAGTAGCTGCGTCAGGCGGGCATCGTGTTCTTTCTTATTAAGGCCGAAAACGAGGACGTCATCTTGATATGCAAGCACACCGTCGAGTCCTTTGATTACACTGTCTATTGCCGATTGAAAGAGGCCAGACGACACATGCAATCCAAATGGGAGAAAATTGTTCTGATACATTCCCCACGGCGTGTTGATTGTTGTAAAGTAGCGAGATTCGACATCGAGTGAAATCTGTAGGTACGCGTCCGCTAAATCGATCTTCGAAAAATACTGGCACCCATGCAATGACTTCATGAAATCCGCTAGTTCCATGGTGGTCACTGCGCATATCCGCAATCTGGGATTCAACTTCAGACGATAATCTACACAGATCCGTGGTGTCCTACCATCAACTTTCATCGCCACGACAATCGGGGTAGCCCAGGCACTGGATTCAACTTTGTTTATTAAACCATCCTGCTCCATTTTCTGTAATGCTTTCAGGACAACTTCCGGTTGACCATATGGGAAGACGCGTCGTTTTAGGAAACTAGGTTTATCGTCCACTTCCAACTTTGCCGACGGTACTTTCATGCCACCAACGTTACCGGAACACTGTACAATCAAATGTTGAAGATGTGAGGTGATTGGCATATCGTTGTTGGTGTGTANTACCAGGAATCGGATTGGGATTGACACACCGGATTCAGATTGAACGCACAACATCGTTTCGCCAAGTAATT